CTGAGGTGATGCTAGTATTAATACATTTCATGCAAATGGGAACAGCTTTCACAGCTTTCACCAGTTGGCCTCCTTTATATCAAATCATAATCAGTGAAGTATCCGTACAGATGTTTGTGGATAGATATATTATTTTTCAAGTTTGAGTCAGTGAACTATATGTACAAGTCTGTGTATTTTATATATGCATTTTAAAAATATTGGCCAGTAAGAGATTTACATGGATTTATCAAGGGTCAATAAAACCACTCAAGCCGGATTTCATAACATTTTGTATTCCTAAAGCATTTGAACATCTAAGCATACTGTCAGCAATGTTAATACTGATTTTGGCACTGACCCTGCAATCAGATTTCTGTGTGTGAACCTTATGCTACTGTGGAGTCCTGTTGAAGACAGTGGGCTTCAACAGAGATGGAAGTGTCAGCAGATCTGATTGCCAGGACCCGGCTTTAGTAGTTATTTTTTCTACAGTATATTTTTAGGAAAAATGAGGGACTCTAGGTGCTGAATGTTTGTGCATGTAGAAACTGTTTTAGATCAGACAATTGTCGGAGAAAAACAGAGTTCTCACTCTCTTTTTCGGGTGCAGCAAATCAGATACTTTACTCTCAAGCAATCTACTTCCACAAATTGTACTGCTGAGAAGGGTTAAAAGAACAAGTGGGCTATTAGACTGTAGAAGTCTAACTGGTAGTTTGAAATTCCTTCTTTTTCATGCTGAAAGTCTGTTGGGTTCCTTTCTGAACACCATTAGTGGATATTGACTTAAATAGGACTAAACCTTCTACAGTACACAAATAGCTCAAGTTACATCCAGATTGCTGAATCTCCCCCTCCCCCCTGCCAGTAGTTTTTCTCCTGAGTATTAGAACATTTTGTAGGGATAATGGGTGGGGAGGGAGACTAACCTCATCCATTATATGGTAATGGAGGTCCAAGGTTATCTTTTACATCCATTACAGGTAAATAGAAACATTAAACAGATATGCTGCAGATATAAATTGAAGACTGTCAATGGGGAGCAGTTTTTCACTCCTATTGGCCTGACATTCCTAAATGTACCTAAAAAAGTGTTAATTTAGCTAAAGGAACAATACAACATTTATTCCATAGAACTGAACATTGTGGTGTCTTTTAGGAACAGATGACATATGACTTGAGTTTATCATAAAAAAACCACCCTGATACTTTGTATATGTATCTGTCTTTTGTGTCTGCGTGAACTGTCTCATATATGATGGTATGGTAGATTGTAAAGGTTTCACCAACATAAGTTAGTGATTTCTGCATTACAAGTGGCCTATACAGGTCATCCCAAATGAGGGCCAGTAAAACAATTACATCACTAGATCATTAACTATTCAGTATATGCTCATATATTTTACAGAAAAACAGATTTAGAAATATGAGTTTTTAAAATTATTGGTACTTTTATTCATCTTGTTCCATCTGTAATGCCAGGTGTGGGTGTGGATGTATATGTATATTAGGGCTGTCAATTAATCACAGTTAATGGATGCAATTAACACAAAACAAATTAACTAGATTAAAAAAGAGTTGTGATTAATCACAGTTTTAATCGCACTGTTGAACAATAATAAAATAGCATTTATTTAAATATTTTTGGATGTTTTCTACATTCTCAAATATATTCATTTCAATTACAATACAGAATAAAAAGTGTACAGTGCTCACTTTATATTATTTGTTATTACAAATATTTGCACTGTAAAAAAGATAAACAAAGGAAATAGTATTTTTCAATTCACTTCATACAAGTCCACTCAGTCCTACTTCTTGTTCAGCCAATCGCTAAGACAAACAAGTTTGTTTACATTTACAGGAGATAATGCTGCCTGCTTATTTACAATGTCACCTAAAAGTGAGAACAGACATTCTCATGGCACTGTTGTAGCTGGTATTGAAAGATATTTACATGACAGATATGCTAAATATTTGTATGTCCTTCATGCTTCAACTTGTAGGCTTTAAAGTTTTACATT